AATATTGCACGAAGCATGCTTTACCGTGATATTCTAAAGTCACATTGGCGATACAGAAATCGGTTGTCCCTATTTTGACAACATAATGCAATATGTAATTGAATGACGTCATTTCTTCCACAAGCCTTGACCTCAAAAAAGATCAATTCGACAATTTTGTTACAAAATACCACATGCAATCCCTTCTTACACCAATCAGTTGGGTATCTGTAAGCCAATATCCGTCTGAACGCTGTTGGCGTTGACTTACAGTTTCAGTCTTTGTTTCTAACTTGCTCTGCTAGAAATCTATTCACCAGATCTCTATTAAGACTGCTTTACTGCTCTCCCTCGAATCTGCCTACTCTCAAAATGTTGTCCTTGTCGTAAATATATTAGGACATAAACCATTCTTGATTCTTTCAATGTCCCGCGGGAATCTCTCCTGCACTGTGATACGTTGATGATAGATACGTGGTATATCAATAGTATATTTTACCATGCAATACTCCATTGTCATCAAAGCGTCGTCGAGTCCAGGACCAGATTATTTTCCCACTGACGTTTTCGATGCTATCAATAACCAGATAAAAAGATACTCCCTAAAACTACATTACAATTACTATAGGATCCATATATTCAAACAATATATAACCCATCACAATGATGACATAATGTAACACAGGCAGAGGGATGTTTAAGCCTAAACATAGTCTGAATCCACACACAAAAATACTGTACCAAATGGTACCTAAAGTCTATAGCTTTCATAGTTTCATGAGTGTAAATGATCATTTTACATACGATTTCCAATGACTTGATTCTTGTCTGCAAACATTAATACATTTTCTGTGTCCAAAAATAAGAACTGGGGTAATGCAGAAAATCCGCCTACACATCATGTAATCTTTCCAAAGAAGAAATGCTGGCTAATCATGCTTCGGTATGACAATTATTTAGATTGCCTATTAATGATCAGAATACTAACAACCCCCGTGTACATTGAATTCTTAAAACTTCCCAAGAATTCATATACACAATGTTTTATCGCTAAGTTGGTGTAAAACCAAGTCGTTGTTATACTACTGACCAACATTTTCAATTCAATATAATCTGGGTTACAGTCTACAGTGTTTATTAATAAGTTGGATTAATAGTATATGGATTTTAAGAGCTTCAACACCCTCTTGTAAGATAACATTTGTTTTAGAAGAACATTTAATGTTTTCATCCTTCATCCGTTACTCCACCATAACTCATTCTTAACTGAAAGAACGCCTTCGTTATCTTGTTATGAGAGTTTTCTTTTCCAAAATCATGATCGGCGGTATAAATATATGATTGTGAAATGTACTGAAAATTGTGTCGTAATCTAAATACGTCAAAGGAAATATCAAAGAAAAAGTATACACAGATATACATCATAAAATGATCGAGTTTCTGGTTGAAACATCTTGTGAACAGGAACATTGTACTGGTAAAACAACACGCCTTTACTTAGATGTCGGCGGAGTTTTTAATATTTTCTCTTAACAGCCTAAGAAGTGATACATACTATTTGCCGCCACTGATTGTTTGTTCCTTTTGCAGATAATCTACCATCATGATACCAACAGCACCCCCAGAAAACAGAGGCCATAACCGTTCCCGCTAATGGTACAATATTTGCATTTTTTGGCGGGAGTGAACCAGGATTCTTCCATTGTTTAGACTGTTGTTTCGCCTCTGGGGTGAAATGACGGACCCACGTTTCATCCATAGTCACAAAGCTCTGCAGAAATTTAGCAAGATTTGCCTCTAAAATGTTCAGATAAGCACGCGACAAACGTCGTCTAGTGTGCTTCTGATCAACCGTCAGAAGTCTTGGTACCCAACGGGCTATGAACTTTCTCATTTCAATATCTTCCGTAAGAATGGAATGTACTCTTTCCTGAAAAATTTCAACCGTACTAGCTATATCCCTCTGTATATCGTTTGCCAGCCATAACAATATCATGGACTTTATTGACCACTTCTGGGCGCAGTATTGACAGGATTTATAGGACGTCATCCACCTTTTCATTGTAGCATAGGACGGAGAATCATTCATAGTGTTGCTACCATATCAGTATGGATATTATTCGGTGCTAGACCTTTAGTTATTTCAGCGTGTTTGCCCATTTTGTTAAAGTCACTTGCCTTGTTTATTTCAGAGTAGTAACTCTTCGACAAAACTGAACAAATGTCACCAATCTTCGGGTACGCAGCCTAAAATATTCAGGGAATAGAGGAGCTGAAAAACATCACTGCTTTACTTCTTTAATACAATGCTTACAACTTATCAATCAGTCATTGTATGTACCCTCGAGAATTGGAGATCGAAGAGAAGAATCTTCTACATAAGCAGCTTATCTCGATCATTTCCTACAACGAAACAATGACAACGTTTCACTAAGCGCCAGGTTCGATAGTTTGGTTGGGAGTTCCGTTGTTGTATACCTCGTTCTCATTTGAAAACGTGACATACCTTACTTGGATTGACCAAAACCTGCCTGGATCATGGTCGATGAGGCAAAAGACGCTTTTTCTTCTGGAACACCTAGTCTTATTCCCTTGTTTTTTCATGAGTCTCCGTGTAAATCTTTCCTTTGTTCATAGTTTGCCTTAGGTTAATTGTTTTTGAGTTAGGATTATGATTATGTTGGCATGTTGATTTTTTCAATGTCATACTTTCAAAGTGAAACCGGGTAACAACAGGAATATTAACTAGCTAAGGAAATACTTGGCATTTATTTGACTTTTAAAGTATATTTATTATGCACTGTAAACTGCTGTCAGAAAACAATTTGTTCGTTCTGCTCCGTGGTTTTGACTCTTGGATGACTCTTATGTGGGAAACTGATATATTCATTCAATATCATACTTTAACATCTCAATATTACAACGATCTAGATAGTTGTACTGCTCTACGTGTACTATAGACAAGAACTACTGTACAATGTCTATATAATAGCTCATTGTTCCCCCTTTTAATATACTTCCTATATGAATAGAGAATGACCATTTTGGACCATTTAGACGATTGAGTTTTGACCATTCAGACAATTGTGTTTATTTCTGAATGTTCCCAGGGCTCAATGGATATTGAGCGACATTTCGCTTTGTATCCTATTCATTAAGGAGTGGTACATGTTCCATCTTAAATATCTAAACAGAAGAAAATTATTTGGATAAACTTTCCCCTCATATTTCATAAATAAATAGGTCATGTACATTCGTTTTGAATCATGTTGTATGTGTTATGTACTGAATCAGTTAGACGGTGGTATGATATGACAGATATGGAGATTTGTAATCCGACGCTATTCTTGCTTCTAGTAACTATAATTTCCTGTCTCCGGAATTGACATGCCCTAAAGTTCGTATTCACAATAAAATAGGAATCCAATTACTAAATTTCTGAACTTCTTGAGTTATGCCTTAAAACAGTTTCTTTGCACAAGGGCTGAATTGTAGTCATTGAACTTCTTGTTTTTATGCTAAAATGCTATAAATGAGAGATATATACGAAAGTCTAAAAGTGTCGTTCTCTATGTTAGCTAAGTCGGTATTTACCAGTCTTCATGTGTGTATATTTTATTTTGAAAAAGCCTATTGAATATATCATATCCTTTCTGAAATTCAAGATTCAAGTGACAGGTGCTTGTATACTAAAATCCATCGATCGATATATTTTTTACTGTGTTTATTTCGCTCGAGAGTTTGATGGTAGCGCGTTGATTAAACTGAAGCAACGTCATTCGTTTCACTTTCGACATATAGAGATAATGCATATTTAATGTAGTACAGTGCAATGCAACACGGCAATACGGATAACGGAAGCCTAATACCAATAGAACTATGTGTGATATGTGGGTGGGTTTGCAACATATACAACGTGTCAAATGTTAAAAAAGCTCATTAGTAAACAAAAGCAATAATTACTGGGAGATTGCAGGTTTGGTTTACAGTTGCAAAATACACGCGCTTGAAAAGAATAACGAGAACGAGAAAGGATAAATAGGTTCTTCTGTTGCAAAATGATTCAATAATCTTTAATATTCTATCTTAATATAATGGTGAAAAGGAACACAGACAGAGTCGTCGTAACCTGGAACCGCTTTGCATTGTGCTACAGAACAAGATTGGTTGTGAAGCATCGTTGCCCTCAGTTCGTCCTAACGTTGCATCTGGAAGTATATATGTCCTGTATATATTTGTGTACCGTTAATTTGTAGCTGTTGAAGCCGAGGATCATCTTTCCTTTAGGTTGACTATGATATTGCAAACTGGCATCATTTTCGCTACACAAATAAATGACAATAAGACTATTTTTTATCTAAGAATAATGTTTGCATTCGTTTCCTGTCTTTCAGAAGACAGGTTATAAAGAACAAATACATATAATGATATATGATTGCCGACAAAACGACAGAGCGACAAATAAATTTATCTAAAAGATGATGTCAACCTCATGTACGTATGTGGTCAACTTAACTGAACAGAGCATACACAGAACATTGCAAAACCAAACTAATTAAGGCGTTAACACTGAGGAAAAAAAAAGAAAAAAAATCGTTAAAGAAAACACCAGCAAACATTAGACAAATTACACAAAAGTTATTAGTCAAAGACTACGCAGGCATTGGTCATTAATTTCTTTATCAAACTGTAATACACAAAATGTAAATTGTTACCGAGGAATAGACATTTGTAAATATTAATAATGAAAGACAACAATGATAATTAATATTCACTGGAATGCCAGAGAAACAAAGACGACGTCATATATGAGACTAACAGGTTGTCCATTCTAAACTCGACGTTTTATTCGCATAGTGTACGAATCAACACACAACTCGGAGCAGAGAATCGACCTACAGACCTCGGAATAGCAAATCAAACAACATTCCTCGGAATAGAGAGTCGACCTACACACCTCGAAATAGAGAATCGAGCAAAACACCTCGGAATAGAGAATCGACCAACACACCTCTGAATAGAGAGTCGACCTACACACCTCGGAATAGAGAGTCGACCTACTCACCTCGGAATAGAGAGTCGACCAACACACCTCGGAATAGAGAGTCGACCAACATACCTCAGAATAGAGAGTCGACCAACACACCTCGGAATAGAGAGTCGACCAACACACCTCGGAATAGAGAGTCGACCAACACACCTCGGAATAGAGAGTCGACCTACTCACCTCGGAATAGAGAGTCGACCAACACACCTCGGAATAGAGAGTCGACCAACACACCTCGAAATAGAGAGTCGACCAACACACCTCGGAATAGAGAATCGACCAACACACATCGGAATAGAGAATCGACCAACACACCTCGAAATAGAGAGTCGACAAACACACCTCGGAATAGAGAATCGACCTACACACCTTGGAATAGAGAATCGACCTACACACCTCGGAAAAGAGAGTCGACCTACAAACCTCGAAATAGAGAGTCGAACAACACCACGGAATAGAGAGTCGACCAACACACCTCGAAATAGAGAGTCGACCAACACACCTCGGAATAAAGAGTCGACCAACACACCTCGGAATAGAGAGTCGACCTACACACCTCGGAATAGAGAGTCGACCTACACACCACGGAATAGAGAGTCGACCAACACACCTCGGAATAAAGAGTCGACCTACACACCTCGGAATAGAGAGTCGACCAACACACCTCGGAATAAAGAGTCGACCTAAACGTCTCGACACAAAGAAACGACAACACACCTTGGAGTAGGTAATCGACCTACACACCTTGGAATTTCATCCTAGATTGCTTTTATTTTACTACTCTACGAACGGTTCCTTATATTGTCTTCAAATAGCTCTAACCACTTAGGCATATTTGGTTTAACTTAGGGGATACTAGACTTGATTAATGCATAATCTAAACTCAAGTACATGCACGAAGATAAATAAACTATTCCCATGCTAAAACGAGTCGAGTCCAAAAGTGACGTATTGGAAGCAAAACGCTCCTTTTAAGCATGGTTGACGTAGAAGCTCCATTTACTTTCCAGTTAAGCAGTCAATAGATTTGGACCAGGATATTGATCTAGGCCTATGAAAGGGCTTTAGATATTTATCTAGGTATTTTATCTATCTAATTTGTTTGTTGATATCGATTCCTAGTTTACATAACCAACATTCTTCGTGTATGTCACTGAATGGGAAAAGCATGTATTCATTAAGTAGATTGATAAAACAATGAACATCGTGGAGAGGCTTCGACAAGTGACGAAGTTGTCAGAACATTTCATTCAAATGGAAGTTTGGATTTCTAGTAAAGGTAGGAGACATAATATCTTGTGTTATATGATTTGATTAAGTTGTGATATTACTACTGAAGTTTCATTTATTTTCGAAAAACGAGGACTGGTTGATAAGTTCTGAATCGTGTTTTGAAGAATTTCCTTTTCAGCTCTACTATTCCCAGAATATTTAATCCTGCGTCCCTGAAGACTGGTGTCATTTGGCTAGTTTATGTCGAAAAGGCCGCATTCTAAAGTAAACAAGGCAAGTGATTTTTACAAAATGGACAATATCGCTCAAATTTTTACATAAGAAAGGTCTAGCAACTAATGATATCAATACTGATATGGTAACAATACTTAGGTAATAATGTGCCTTCCTATGCTACAGTGGAATGCTGGATGGCGAAATCCAAGCATGAAAGGCAGAGCCTTGTTGATGACGCCCGTCTCGGAAGGCATGTCAATGTTGCGACCCCAGAAACGGTATAGTTATAGCTGACAGGCGAGTTAAATATAGCCAGTACAGTTGGGAATTCACAGGAAATAGTACATTCCGTTAACGAGGAAGATCTTGGAATGAGAAAGCTCTCAGACCGTTGGGTACCAAGACTTCTGACAGTTGATCAGAAGCACACCAGACGGACTAGTCGGATGAAATGTTGGTCCATCATTTCACCCAAGAGGCCAAACAAAAGTCTAACCAATGAAAACACCTTGGTTCACTCCTGCCATCCACCTTATTCGCCTGATCTCTCTCTATTAGACTTTAATTCGAAAATTGTAAAAAGGTCATTTCTGGTACCCACTTTCGGCCAGATGATGACGTCATACATCCAGTGGAGAACTTTCTGAACGGTTAAGAGAAAGACTTCTTAAATAGTGGCATTGAGATCCTTACACATTGCTTGCAAATGTGTTAAAAATAATTCAATATGTCAGTCAAAAGTCAAACCCTCAAATATCAGACTGACAACTTATCCATCAGCCGTCGTATCGTCATCGTACTCCCCATCCTTCATTTCTATGACACATTTGAGCATGTCGTTATCTTAAATTTCTTATATGCTGAGGTCGATCTTCTGCCTCAATAGGAGAGATAACCTTCATATTTGGACAAGTATTAGAATGATTGCCATGGCAACGACTTGGCAGTACATGAGTATATAGGGGATTATATAATGAAATTATCCAATAAACGAATACATTACATAACCATTATTTTAAAACGATCCATAAAATAAATTTCCTTCAATACATCTTATTGAGTCGACCGTATAGACGATGTTGGATGAATACTACCCCCTGTTTTAATATGGTGTCTGCTCTATAGGCATTATAATGCTTATCGCTCGCGATTGTTTCCGGAGATAACTCTTTGTGACGTCATGTCTGTTTCCGGTACAGCAGATATAACCACTGATTGCATAGACATCGATTTATACTCAATAGTTGTTATGAGATATATGACAGCAATGTTGATAATTTGATGTCACCATTAATTTGTCTACAAGTGTGTAACTTTTTCTTGGTTTTGTAGACTTACTTTTAAGTGTAGACACTTCGATCTAAATTCATTCATAAAAACATATCGATTCTATTCATGTCTCCTGACTTACGTCTTCGTTTGATGACTATCTGTGTGTGTGTCAGATATAGGGAATGTATAACTCACCATCTCATTATCAACAAATAAATATGCTGATGTGTCTGTGGTATTGACTGGGATAATAAACCTGAAATTTTCTTGCAGAGGAAACTAAATAATCTATAAACGAAACTTTTAACCAGATCTATTTAAACTGACTGCATTATAACATCGAACATAAACATCAACAGAAGCGTTGGATTTTTCTTTTTCATGTCAAGACTTTCTTCATGAAATTGACCTGTCAACTTCTATTTTCCGACCAACTGTTGTTTTGAAAATATCATTATCGTATTGTATTCGAATTCTACAACAACAAGAAATCATGAATAGAAAATTGTCTCGTTTAGATTTGACTTTTGTAGCTTTGCAAAGGAATACATCAATGTTACAAGTCTCTATAAAAAAAACATCCGCAACGTTTCTAAACCATCGCATAACATCTCCGAAGCATGCTTCCTGTCCAAATGCATTCACATTGCCATACCATTATACAAAACAGAATGTCATCTTTAGCATCTGACCAGTATTTCCTCCCTCGGTCTAACCATAAATCCTCATGCATACTCTACCATATGTAAACATTCAAAGTTCTTATATATAATCATTTTTTAATTAGATTTATAGCCAAAATAAAAGTATATGGCAATATTTTCAAAATATTTTCTTTTTTGTTATTAAGAAAGCTACAGAGAATAACGAAATTGTGAGCTATCTAACGACGTATACGTCGTACCAATTGGGGGAATCTGAATTGATCAGCTGTCTCTGTAACACCACTCAGGACCTCTATCGACACATCATTTTTGGGGCGTGTCCCTGGAGACCTTTCGTTAAGCTATTGTGAGAGTGTGAAGCGGGGAATTGTTGCACTGCCTTGTCCAGTTGATATGATTAGAGTACAGTGACACTTAGGGCATAATACCATGTGATCAATAGATATCAAAAGGTCAGCAAAGTCTCCTATGATGACAGCAACCAATACGGTTAACATCTGTGTGAAAATCAGACATGTGGTCACGGGCTTCGTATGACGTTTTGCAGTTTTCGATAAAAGAGCGAAATCCTCTAATCTTCCACTTTATATAAACGCATAGCTGTTTATACCTTTGTTTAGTGTACAGTACTAAGTACATACTGGTGTACGGATGGTAGTATCAATATCCGGTGTAGAATAATTACATTAGTAGAAAGGCGGTTTAAAGGAAAGCCTGAAAAGATACATTACCCTTGTATCATTTGACCAAGCATAAGTGTAAGACGAAAGAAAAACCAGGCGCTAAAGTTATTAATCAATCACATATTTGGGAGACATAAAAATAAAATTATTATCTGTAATATAAAATTCCGCAAATATGTTGATAATGGCAAGCTAGGGTATCAAAAAGGATAAGTCACTTCCGTTATCATAGGATGAGAAGGATAGGCTATGACGAGGAAACTGTTACCGACCAGCACTGCATAAATATCATACAAACATGTCATAAAGACAGTCTGCACGCAAAGTATTATTTCATAAACATGCGGCCATCACATCACTGCAAAATGAATCTTTCGCTTCTGATAATGTAGCTTGTTTGTTAATTCAGCCAGCTGAACAATCTAATTACATAACGTCACACTCTGTGAAGGACGGATTTTTAGGACTGTGAACTTTCTCAATCATGGCGGATATAGCTTTATTTGTGAGAAGATGTTCATGAAATGAATACGTTCCCTTCGCTGATGATAATCCCTTCAGTACGGATGATACCAGGATATTTAGGTACTAGGCGAGAAATGAATTTCCAGTGATAAATTCATCACAGTATTATTTGAAGACATTAAAAGAGACAATTATTGATCAAAATTTCAAAATAGAAAGATAATTTTTGTTAATTTCCGAAAAAAAATCTTCCTTATTTTGGATTCTATGTTACAGGAAAAATAATTATATTTGACAGAAGTCATACTTGGCACGAACATTTGAGAAGATAACACCTCACAATGTATTACATTTTGATAATGACAATGTGAAACACAAATACTCTGTGATTTGCCAACGTGTCTGCCTCGATTTTCCCGAGTTCTTTGGCGTCATCAGTTGTTGCTATGGTGTCACAATGATCTCTGAAAACGAAGAACGTTTAATTAAAAAAACCAATTTATTTGCATTTATTTGGTCAAATTATCAAATCCTTTTCTCGTATTTTTTTTTTTTTTTTATTTTGTGATTTTTATTTCTATTCTCGAGCTCAACACCAATATAAGATCATGAAAGGTAATGATGCCCAAAACAAAACGGGGAGGTACACTGATCCAAAGATAAATGCATTTTCATAATTATCAATATCGAATGAGTACAACTATTCAAATGAATTAAAATGTGGCGTGCGGGTCACGGCAATCCTTGTGGACTGAAGCGCTTACCACTAACTAGTCACTGCTTTTGTCTGAACTCGGGCTCAATGCTCCAGTATTAAGGTATCATTCCTTGTCCATTAACAATACATTAACTGACCTTTCTGATGTTGCTTCCCTAATCAACTTGAGGTCTCATTCACACTCTTCGGTGTTTGAGAAAGTGGTTGTGATTTTTGCCTAGTATATTAGATTTACATTTTTTTGGCGTAGAAAGAACGCAAATTTTGGACACCATCAGCGCACTAGTTCCACAACCTTTCAAATCTGTTTTCGTTAATTACCATAAACGCCAGATTCAATTTGCAATGACAGAGAAGAATCTACTTATATGCTGTTCGTACCAGTGGTATTCCAGATAGTGTTTTTATATCACATAGCGGCAGGCTTAAATTGTT